CCATATATATATATATATATATATATATTAAATTACTTTAATAAAAGAAACTCTCCCTTACCTCTTCCTCTCGAAACCACACTGGATCTCCCTCCCAAGCATCCTCGCCTGCTCGACAGTGCACAAGCTCGACCCTTCGTCCTTTATAATGCTCCTTCCTCTCCTCTTCTTCTTTCGTGGTAGACTAGGGCATGGGCTCCTTCGCCGCTCCCACCTTCTTCGCTTCTCCTTCGCACCAGGCCGCTCGAAGCTCAAAAGAACTCCTACATCGATTGCGGCTCATTACAGACGTCGAATCCTTCTTCTCTGCTCGACGTTGTCATTATTGTCGCTCTTCCCCTCTTTCGGTTACAGAGAAACCCTAGCTTGTGTCATCTCTCGTACCCTCCGATCTTCTGGTAAGTAACTCTCGCCTCTGTTGCGATGTTTTATAGACGAACTCGTCGTGTAGCTTCTAATCCTCTCGTTTCAATTTCCCGACTTCTTGTTTCATCTCCATCCTCTTCGGTTTCCCAACTGCTCGCTTCTTCTTCCTTTTTCCTTCAATTTCTTCCATTTCTTCTTCCTCCCCGTAATCGAAACGGTTCATCATATGAAACGGGACATCAAAATCTAAACGATTTTTTTATTTTTATTTTAAATTCATTTAAAAGATGGATCCAAACAAGGCACAATAGTTTTGGACATGTCTCAATAAACAAATATAGAGAAAAATACAAGCACACACAGAAAAGAGAGGCATGAAAACATACCAATTTTGAAGAGAGAAAAAATAAACGAAAGGCAATACAAACAAGCAGCCCTCAGCAGTATATACAAGCTGCGCTAATCCAACTGAAAGAACTAAGAGATGTGAGTTTCTTACATAGCAAAAACATGCTATTTTTACCATAAATAGAGAAGAAAGCAGAGAAAGAATGTATCAAGGTCAAACTAATGGTCTAAATTGTCAATAAATTTTGTCATAATACAAAGCTCAATGTGCCAACAATTATTATCACACACCAGAAATTTAAAAAACGTCAGTGGTTGCCAAAGAAGATTTTCTCGAGATATGAGATGGTATTTCAACACTAATTAACTGAATATACCTATCAGAAGGATCTTTTCCAGGCATTTCCACAAATAGGTCATGATCACATATTATCTGTAAGAAAGTCAGTTTGCAGTCATGTAGCGCAGATTGACAGATCCCAGCAAATTTGTCCATATATAAAGATACCTGCAAAAGTCAAAGTTATAGATATAAGAATTGATGACAAATTTGTTGGATGTAAAATAATACATTCTTATCAGAATTTATCAAAGACTAATTTTCAGAGATAAACACTAGATATCACACCATTTAAAATTTTAACATACTTCTTTCATGTGTTTTTAAACCCCAAATTCGCTTGGTGCATCTTTGGAATCTGTCAACAATGGATTCTTCATATTGAGACCGAAATATCAAACCCCAATGCCAACCTTGAAAAACGTGATTTCCGGTTGACACCTTTTGATAGTAGATTTTTGGATTTGAGATCACTGTGAAATAGCCAAGATGACCTAACCTTTCTTTTGTGAGTGAATGATTGTGATAAATAAAAGAGATTTAGCTCTTCATTTTTTTAATTTCTGCTATAATCTATAGACAATTAGCTAAAAATGAAAAAGAAATTTTTACATAGATATTTTATATTTTGTTGTTCTGAGACCGCTAACTTGGTTTTATATATCTTGAAAATTTATTCTCTAATTTTCTGCTCTTTAGAGTATCGTATCATCTCCCTATACAAGTGCTGTGTCTATAGTTTGCTCAGAAACAGGTGGTAGATGCTCCTCATCGTCTGTATCTAGACATTCATCGTTCGACCAGTCGTTTGCAGCAGAGACAACCACCGAACATCATTTATCTCTCTCCAAATGTCATTGACCGCTCATATTATCATCCAATTGCTATTTTACAACCACCTCCCCCATTAAATCTGCTTCATAAATGCCTCATAAAAGCCTTGGAATGATATCATATGGTATTAAAGCCCAACAAACCTTAAATTTTTAAGGATTCTTCTTCCTACTCCTAAAACAAGAATTCATACAACCTAACATAACATTCCGCCAAAAAAAAAAATCCCATCATCAGCCACCTAACTCAAACCCTAATGCTAACCCTAAATCGCTTTTATTTCCATCAAAACTTTTATTGAAAAGAACAAGACGTGATGTTGTCAAGAAGAAACCATCAACAGGTCATTCAAAGCTCAATATGGAAGACATACATAGAGAAATATTTTAACAACAAGAGAGACTTGTCGCCTTTGAGAGAATACAATCCGTCGAGATTAACCATAACCACAACGGTTAATCTCCAAATCACGAGGAGAAAGTGAATCTATTCTATAAAGAAATCGATTTGGCATGGAAGATTAGAGAAGAAGCCAAACTCTTGAAGTAAAGATGGATTTACCAGATTTTGACGGTTGCATGGATCTAGACAAATTTATCTAATGACTCCAAATAATGCTATCAAAACAGCTTGTTGTTCAGAAACAACTCGAGTTCAACTCATTAAACAGCTCGTGTTCGATTCATTCATTAAGCAAACGTCGAACACCAACAATTTTTTTTCGTTCGATATATAAACAAGCCGAACACAATAAAGTTTTGATGAGCATTATTTTTCAATAATTTAATTAATTACAAGGCTACAAAAATTTATACAACAAGCCTTTATCCCACTAAGTCGGTCGGCTACATAAATACTTTTTATCCATTGTGTCCTATTGAGTGTCATATTTTCGTGTAATTCTAATAAATTTAGATCATTTTGTATACAATATGCCCAAGTATTTCTAGGTCTAACTCTGCAATTCCTAACATAAGACGAATCTAAAACATATACTCTTCTAACCGAATAATCGGATGGATGACGTTTCATGTGACTAAACCATCTAAGACGACTCTCTCTAAGTTTATCCGCCACTAGAGCTACATCAACTCTATCACATATATATTCCCTTCACATATTGCCTCTAAGCCAAGCCACTCATCCACTTAATCATTCTCATCTTGGCAACCCTTAATTTCTTTTTATGCTTCATTTTTAAAAGAACAACATTTTACGCCATAGAGGATTGCAGGTCTCACCACCATCTTAAAAAATTTTCCTTTTAGTCTAAGCATTACTTTTCTATCACAAAATAAGCCTGATGCATTCCTCCACTTCAACCAACTGAATTCTACTAATAACATCCTCATCTATATCACCATCACTTTGAAAAATAAACCCGAGATATCTAAAACGTCCAGACCATTTAATGATTTGATCACCCATGGTTACAGCTCTATCACTAGAACTACTACTACTAAAATTACATTCAATCTTAGTTCTACTGAAATGAAGGCCTTTAACCTCTAATGTAGAACTCCATAATTCAAGTTTTTCTTAAACCCTTTCTATAGTTTTATCCACAAGAAGGAAATCATAAGCGAAAAGCATACACCAAGGTACATCCTCATGTAATTGTCCAGAAAAAGCATCCATAAAGAAAGCAAAAAAGGTATGAAAATCGATCCTTAATTTAATCCAACTAAAATAGGAAAATATTGGGTCAATCCTCCTATTCAAACACAACAGCTCCAGTATACATACCTTTAATGATTTGAATATAAGTAATATCAACGCCTTTTTCTTCTATAAAACTCTCCAAAGGATTTCTCTTGGAACCTCATCATAAGCCTTTTCTAATTTAAAAAAAAAACATATGTAGAACCTAGTTGTTCTCTCTGTAATTCTCCATCAAACCTCTCAATAAATGTATAGCCTCTATAGTAGACCTACACAACATAAATCCAAATTGATTATGAGAAATTTTTGTAACACGTCTTCACCTATGTTCAATTACCCTCTCCCATAATTTTAAAGTAGGACACATCAACTAAATTCCTCTATAATTTGCACACCCTTGGCTACAACAATTTATAATCAATTAAAATTATTAATTAAAAAAATAAAATAAATATATATTAAATACTTTTTAAAGGAATATTTTAATATAAATAATAAGATTTAAATCTTGCCCCTATTCTAATATCCTATGGTTTCGTGCCTAGGGCAATCAAAAGGGTTCGTTGTTCGCGAACAACTTGTGACAACTTGTGTTCGACTAGCTAAGCAAAAGAGTCGAACTTGAACAATTTTTTTTATCAAGAACAATAATTTTTTTAACAAGTCTGTTGACCTCGCTTTCGGTCGAGGTGTAGTTTTCCCCTCCTTAGTAGCCTAGGATCTAGCCTTAGAACCTTTCTGTCGACTACTCCTAGAAAAATAGTGAATGAGCCCTCCCCGTTAGCAATTCTGAACTTTTCTTCGCTCGACTTGACGTTTCATGTAGTAGTCTTGACCGCTATTGCTTAGCAGGTAAGGCTACTCCGAAGGAACTCACGGAGCATTCCTATAGAACTGATGGCCTTAGAATTGATTCTACTCGTTGATTTGGCGCCGCTGCGCTCTCCGTCGTCCTGTTTAATCGAATTCGAGCCGAAATTTTCGTAGGAATCATGAAAATATCGGACCGCGATGCGTTTTAGCCCGATCGACGATGAGGTTGTCCGGACGACTCCGGATGACGAAACGGACTGCGTCGATGCGTCTGGAACGTCGATTTTGCTTAAGGGGGACTTTCGCGCGTTTCGGGGAAAATGTCTATTTAAGTGTTTATTATAATAATAAATAATATTTTATTATTATTATTATTATAATTAATAACTTATATTAAAACCCTTAACATAAATTTCTTTCCCCTCCCCGCCTCATTCCTTCGAACCCGTGGGCCTGCCTTAGCCCTAGGATGGCTTGTTCGGTCGCTCGGCCCACTCCTTCGTGCCATCAGGGAGGCTTTGTTCCCGTGTTCGCCTTTCGCACGCGGAACAGATCACGTAGGCGCCCATCCCTCGTATCCTAACTTCGGCGATATGGGCTCGATCTCCTCTGTCGCGGATCGTATCCTCTGCGAGGATCTAATCCTCCGCATCTCTCGATCCCTCTCCCGTATCTTCTTAATCATTTGTCTCCTTTGCACTTAGCGTATATGAGAGCTCCTCTGTGAAGCTTCCAAAGGGCCCGAAAATCTTTCTAAGGGAGAAAACTCTGCTCTTTTTCTTTCTCACTCCTTTGATCTTCTGGAGCTTGAATCGGTTTCCTCCTGCTGTTGGGAGAGGAAGTGAAGTTCCGGAGTACTTTTAGAGTTTCTGTGTTACTTTCTTTTTGCTTCAAAGAGGTACCTTCTTCCCTCTCCCCCTGTGCATTGTCTGTGTTCGGTCCTACTGTTTACCGAGCCCCTGTGTTTTATTTGTGCTCGTCCCTGTTCTCTGTCGAGTCCTGTTAGCATGCTAGAATAGGGAAATTACTATTTGCCTCATTCCTAAACATGTTCTAACTTACTCTTTATACGTTTGCTATGTGGGAATGACATTTAAAAGCTTGAGGGTGTGTATTTTCTTCTCCCTCCCTTTCTCTGTGCTTTACTGACTCTCGGTTTTAACCTTGCCGGGCCTCTGATGATGATTTCAGGGTATGGTTTAGTACTCTAGTTGCCACTATGCTTGTATTTGGAAATGTTTATCACTCAAAGCATATGAAGATAAAAAAAATATGCATATATGCTAGAAGTTAGATTTGGCATGCTATTAGTCATTTCTTTTACTTTGCTTATCTAAAGTGCTGAAATCATGGCATGTTGCCTATCTCTCAAGGCATACTTATGTTGGAAGTAATTAAGAGGATGGTTTTGAAATAATTGGCCCTTCTCATGAGCATGTTAGTATGTGTATTACGAAGCTTTCATCCACTTTCACTCAAAGCATGTGGTAGTTCTATCTTAAGATGTCTTAAAAGCATGAGAATATTGCTCTAACTTTTATTGTGGCTTAGTGTTGGAGGTCTCAATTGCAGCTTGGTTTTCGACCCTTGCTGGGTTCGGGTTTTAGCCTTGCTTGGCTCGGTTTGGTTTTTAACTAATATGGAATTTGATAAAAAACTTGGGTTGACTCGATTTTACCTTAAGATGGCTAGAATTTTAATTTTTGTTAAGGCTTGGGTTTTAATCTATGCTTGGACTCTGTTTTGGCTTTGAGTGGCTCGGTTTTAGCCTCTATTGGGGCTCGGTTTTGCCTGATCCAGTCCTTGGTTTCTTTTTCTTTTTGCATACTTGTAAAGCTTATTTTGGCATGGGATTTGTATTTTTTTGGCTACTCCAAGTCCAATATATGTGTGGGTTTATCCCCAAATGATTTAAAGTTGGTGCAGGGCGTGGTTTTACTTGTTCCTGGCCCTACCCGAGAGTTTGGCTTAGCTTGGCTTGTTTTGGTTTTGCCTTTTCTGGACCTTACCCGAGAGCTGGTTTGGTGAGTGGGCTTGGTTTCTTATTTTGGGAAGATTTGGGTGTTGAGTTTATTGAAACTTAGCTTTTGCTTTGGTCGTGGATTTTGCCTTATGCCTTGGACTCAGCCTAGTC